CCCAGAAAGACATACAGGTGCTTCTACAAACTATTGACTCAGGCGTGTGAATACTTATGTAAATTAGATATTTCTGCATTCATTTTCAATAAATTTGCACAAACATTCTCAAAACATGGTTTCACTTTGTCATTATGGAGTATTGTGTGTAGATGGGTGAGGGAAAAAATACAATTTAATCAATTTTGAATTCAGGCTGTAACACAACAAAATGTGGAATAAGTCAAGGGGTATGAACTGTAACACAACAGTTTTTGTGACAATACCATCAGTAGAATTGAAAATGCGATGGAAACCAATTTAACTTGAATGTTTTTGTTAATGCTGTGTAATACATTCTGCAGTCAAACTTTATACATTATGTAATCCAAAATGTTTACTGGATATGTGTGCAACAAAATATCAACTTTCACCTTTTGCTACTATTTCTGTGAAGTCTACTCCTACAATTTGATGCATACCTTGGATTTATCCAAGGTATGCACCACACAGAACACGCAATGTTACAAGGCAAACGCAGCATTGTATTGTAAATGAATGTACTTCTGGTGTACCAAAACACAATGATAGTGTCGGTCTGATCGAGACGTTTTCGTTCTGCTTATCGGTCTGCTTATCGTGGACAGATTTTGACGGGAGTTATGGTGCTTTCACGACAACTGGGAACTCTGAAAAAAACGAGGTCAAATCATGACGTCAGTGATTTTCAGGTCGGAAAGTCTGAGCTTTAGAAAGAGGCCCGAGTTCCTGATTTGGAATTCCAAGTTGGATGACCGTTCCAAACAATTTTTCCCAGTCAGAGCTCTTTTTTTGTGGGGGGGGGGGGGAGTTCCCAGTTGTCTTGAATGCACTGAAGTCAGAATTCAGAGATTTACGAGTTCCCAGTTGTTTTGAACGTGGCATGAACCCTCTCGCTTCGCCTCTTCCCCTCTGCTATGAATTGATTTCTAATTGATTGGTAGAGGGACCCAAATTTATGCAGTTTGGATGTTTAAAAAAATTGTGGTAGGGTAAAACTGCTGGAATTCCAGTGTTGGTAGAAGGAAACGTCACAGCTGTATTAAGTAAAGAAAAGGCAAATGTCCTAGGTGGTGCATTTGCAGCGGTTCATAGATGTGAATACCTTTGTGATGAGAGTAAGAGGAGACGTAGGGAAAAGTTAAAAGAGCATGGAGATGTCTTACAGAGAAAAGGGGAGTCAGGAGAAGCTTTCTAGTTTTCTATGTTTGGGACAACAAGGGCTTTGGAGGGCTGCGGGTGGACTGCTCCTGGAGAAGATACCCCATAATGACATAGCGAAAACGGATTTTTTGAATTTTTTGAAAATGTATTAAAAATAAAAAACAGGAATACCTTATTTACATAAGTATTCAGACCCTTTGCTATGAGACTCAAATTGGGCTCAGGTGCATCCTGTTTCCATTGATCATCCTTGAGATGTTTCAACAACTTGATTGGAGTCCACCTGTGGTAAATTCAATTGATTGGACGTGATTTGGAAAGGCACACACCTGTTTATATAAGGTCCCACAGTTGACAGTGCATGTCAGAGCAAAAACCAAGCCATGAGGTTGAAGGAATTGTCTGTAGAGCGCCGAGACAGGATTGTGTCGAGGCACAGATCTGAGGAAGGGTACCAAAAAATGTCTGCAGCATTGAAGGTACCCAAAAACACAGTGGCCTCCGTCATTCTTAAATGGAAGAAGTTTGGAACCACCAAGACTCTTCCTAGAGCTGGCCGCCCGGCCAAACTGAGCAATCAGGGGAGAAGGGCCTTGGTCAGGGAGGTGACCAAGAACCCAATGGTCACTCTGACAGAGCTGCAGAGTTCCTCTGTGGAGATGGGAGAACCTTCCAGAAGGACAACTATCTCTGCAGCACTCCACCAATCAGGCATTTATTGTAGAGTGGCCAGACGGACGCCACTCCTCAGTAAAAGGCACATGACAGCCTGCTTGGAGTTTGCCAAAAGGCACCTGAAGGACTCAGTCCACGAGAAACAAGATTCTCTGGTGTGATGAAACCTAGATTGAACTCTTTGGCCTGAATGCCAAGCGTCACATCTGGAGGAAACCTGGCACCATCCCTACGGTGAAGCATGGTGGTGGCAGCATCATGCTGTGGGGATGTTTTTCAGCGGCAGAGACTGGGAGACTAGTCAGGTTCGAGGAAAGATGAACGGAGCAAAGTACAGATCCCTGATGAAAACCTGCTCTAGAGCACTAAGGACCTCAGACTGGGGTGAAGGTTCACCTTCCAACAGGACAACAACCCTAAGCACACAGCCAAGACAACGCAGAAGTGGCTTCGGGACAAGTCTCTGAATGTCCTTGAGTGGCCCAGCCAGAGCCCGGATTTGAACCTGATCGAACATCTCTGGAGAGACCTTAAAATAGCTGTGCAGCGACGCTCCCCATCCAACCTGACAGAGTTTGAGAGGATCTGCAGAGAAGAATGGGGAAACTCCCCAAATACAGGTGTGCCAAGCTTGTAGCGTCATATCCAAGAAGACTCAAGGCTGTAATCGCTGCCAAAGGCGCTTCAACAAAGTCCTGAGTAAAGAGTCTGAATACGTAAATGTGATACTTTCGTTTTTTTAATGTTTATAAATTTGCAAAAAAATCTAAAAACCTGTTTTTGCTTTGTCATTATGGGGTATTGTGTATAGATTGATGAGAGAAAAAAACAATTTAATCAATTTGAGAATAAGGCTGTAACGTAACAAAATGTGTAAAAAGTCAAGGGGTCTAAATACTTTCCGAATGCACTGTAGGGTGTGTTATGTGATGTTTAACCATGCACTGAACAGTGTGTTTGGAAGCAGTGTTAGGGTTGTATAATAAGGTGTGGAGGACTGGCGTGATACCTGCTGGGTAGATACAAATCCTACTAGGGTGGGCAGTTATAGGCCTATCGCACTGACATCCAACGTATAAGTTGATGGAAAATATGATAGTGAGTCGGATGATGTATTTCTTGGAAGTTAGGGGTTTGATGAGCATAGCATAGACTGGGTTCAGGAGATGGAGGTCTGCCATGGATGCCCTGGTGACAGTTAGTACAGCAATAGCCAAGGGCCTGGCAATAAAATAGGAAATGAGTGTTGTGTATTTTGACATTGAGAAAGGTTACGATACCATGTGGAGGGAAGGGTTGTTGATCATGTTGAGTGCATTGGGCATTGGGGACGTCTGTATAACTGGATCATGGACTTCCTGTTCGATCGAGTCATACGGGTGAGGGTGGGGTCAGAATTGTCAATGCGGTTTGAAGTGCACAATGGCACTCCTCAGGGAATTGTGGTTAGTCCGGTGTTGTTCACCCTGATGATAGATTACATATTTAAGGAGGTGGGACAGAGAGTGGGTGTGGCCTTGTATGCTGATGATGGGACTGTATGGAAGTGAGGTGGGAATGTGAAATATGTGATGAGGAAAATGAAAGAAACTGTGGGAGTTGTGGAAGATTGGGCTCTAACATGGGGGTTTAGGATGTCTGTGGCCAAGTCCTGCTTTATGGTGTTTTCTAGGAGGAAGGTTAAAGATGTTAGGGCTGCAAATATACGGTCAGGATATAGATCGGATAGACAAACACTGTTGTATATGTACCAGGCATTGATCAGGTCATCTTTGGACTATGGGTGCTTTGTACATGGATCAGCAGCCAAAACGGTACTAAAGCGCCTGGACAGGATACAGTCAAGGGCCCTGAGATTGTGTGTGGGTGCCTTCAGGACGACACCTGTTGAGGCATTGCAGGTGGATAGTGGGGAACTGCCACTGAGGATAAGGTGGGACAAACTTGCATTAGCGTACTAGGCGAGGTCGAAAGGGAGTTCAGAAGGACATCCTGCGGTCTCGGCAACTAGGGAATGCTGGGAGCGAGGAGGGGGTAAGCAGAGGGCGTATGGGTGGACAATCGGGCAGAAGGTGGTAGAATATGGACTGGGGGAGAGAGAGAGATAGGGCCGGCAATTGCATTGGAGAACGTTCCTCTGTGGCTGTTTCCGAAAACAAGTGTAGATGTGGACATAATTGAGGGCAGGAGAGAATGGGGTGAGGACGTGAGACGGTGTGTGGAGAGATATATACATAATCGGTTGTATTTGTTTTTAAGGATATATACAGATGGTTCAAAGGATCCAGTTAGTGGAAGGGTGGGGGCTGGGGTGTATATCCCAGATTTCAATGTTGGAGTATGTAAGCGGTTAACTGATTATGTGTCAGCATATACGGCAGAATTGATAGCCATGATTATAGGTTTAAGATGGGTGAAGGAGGTGAAACCACTCAGTGTGGTGATCTGCTCTGATTCGGCTGCAGTGTTGAGTAGTGTGAAGACAGGCAGGTCGGATAGGGGAGACTTGTTTGTGGAGACGATGTGGTGGCTAAGAGTGCTGTGAGGAGAGAGGGGCTAGATATTCAGGTCCCGCTGGGCCGCAGGGAAGTCAAGCCCTTGATCCGGGCAAAAGGGGTCTATCTTTGGCAAAGGGAGTGGAATGATAGTAGTAAGGTGAGGCAATTTTATTGCGTGCATCGGTCAGTAAAGGAAGAGGTGGGGAGTAGGGGATGTAGGAGAGAGGCAGTTGTGTAAAGTAGACTACAGTTTGGACACACAGGTTTGAATGTCACGTTGTGGATGATAGGGAGACATGAAACAGGTATGTGTGATGAGTGTTTAGTGGAGGAAACGAGGGAGCATGTGTTAATATTTTGTGAATTGTATGAAGCAGATAGGGAGAGATTGTGTGAAAGGGTTAGATAGGCTGTACGGGGTTTGGGTGATGTAGCGGGGGGAGGAAAGGTGAGGGAAGTGGTGTCTAGGGGTCTATTTCACTTTCTTAGTGGAACAGGACTAATTAATATAATTTAATGTAGTTAGGCCTTGACTGCCCTCACACTCCAGTACAGTAGGTGGCGGTGTATGCACCTTGAAAGTTGAGTGCGATCCGCCAACTCAATCCCAAAGAAGAAGATGAAGAAGAATATTTATGATTGGAGCTCAGAAACTCGTCAGGAAACATTTGTTTAAAAACATCCAGGTTAGCTAGTTAACTTGTAAATGTGGTTCTTCTTTCTAGTCTAAATAACTGAGAAACTGTCTTTTAGATTTTTCATTTCTTGCTAGCTACATTACTTTTCAATACGATCACATTGTTGTAACGATATCAGAACGTTGTTGTTACACTTGGATACTACTGCCGTTCGCTAGCTAACGCCTAGCGTAGCTACCGTTCGGTAGCAAGGCAATTTTCGTTTCCATATAAGGTTAGCTTTTTGCGTTATACACGACCGTTCATGTGAACGTATAGTGTGAGATTCGATGCCTCCTGCAAGCAAACGGGCGAGAAAAGAGGACTCACCGCTGGAATTGGCGTGTGAGTGGGGGTCCTGCCAAGAGTCGTTCGATCGGATGCAGGAGTTCTGCGAGCATGTGGAGGGTCACCTCAAGGCGCTGGACATTGAGGACGGGGAAAAGTACTCATTTGGTGAGCGGGAAAGGGGAGTATGGATTAGTCTCTTTTCACAGCCACTGTGCCTCTGACGTGGAGTGACCCTCTGTGTGAGCGATACAATACATGAGACAGGAAAAGCCAGGAGAAATAAAAGTCAAACGTTAATTTGATTTGAGATAAAGTAGCTATCTAAGGCTATTGTGGAAGACACTCATGTTGTACAATGCCATATACATGTATCTTGTTCGTTTTCTGTCACTAGAGGAGCTCAGCTGTCTATGGATAGATTGTGGGTTCTGCTCTGTGGAGAGTGCTGAGGAGTTTAAGCGCCACGTCTATTTCCACTGTTACCACACCAAGCTGAAGCAGTGGGGCCAGGGGGTACTCAAGGCCCAGCCCAGCCTCGGTACCTGCACCATTGGCCTCCACAACCGCAACATCGTGCCTGACATCACAGACAACTTCATCTGCCAGTGGGAGCAATGTGAGGTGAGGCACTGTTAGTGTGGGTCATATCTAGCTTAGATGTGAAGCTTGTGGACAGACGCACAAGCTCTTTAATTTAGATGGGCTTAGGTTGAATGCCCTCAAATCTATTCAAGTGGACCGATTTAAGCATATCAGTTTAAGTGGTGAAGTTTTCAGATCTTGTACTTTTGTTGGTCTTACTAAGATCATTACTATGAGAGCAACATGTATTTGTGTGTATGTGTTTGCAGCAACCCTCCTTTGCCAACCCAGAGTGGTTCTACCGCCATGTGGAGATGCACAGTATGTGTATGGACGTACCCTCTGCTGATAAGGAGCTCTTGTTGCACTGTGGCTGGAAGGGTGAGTCCACTGACCCCTGTAAAAATGGCAACAGTGAGTAACACAGGCTAGTTTACAACTATTCAGGAGAAACAGAGGTGACTGTATGTTTCAATTGGAGAATGTGTGGTTTTTCATTATTTTGGAATTGAGGGTGAATAAAATAGGTAAAAGCAGGGTATTACCAATGTCATGTGACCTGGAACCAGAGTTTATACCGCTACTGAGAGTATCACCTGTACTTATTTCCCCCTGACTTTTCTCCAGACTGCGAGGCCACGTTTAAAAGGCGTTTTAAGATGCGGGAGCATTTGCGGAGCCACACCGGGGAGAAGGTGGTGGCCTGCCCAATCTGTGGAGGGATGTTCGCCAACAACACCAAGTTCTTTGACCACATCAGTCGGCAGACCACCATTGAGGGTGAGCGGGGAAGGTCAGGGATGGATTGGATTTAGGGCTTTGCTAACATTGTGGAGTATAACCCAATAACCCATTTCCTTAATGACTGACTCATGACTGTGTCTGTTCCCTTGTCTGTCCTAGGTCAGAGGTTCCAGTGTTCCCACTGCTCCAAACGCTTTGCAACGGAGAGACTACTGAGGGACCACATGAGGAATCATGGTCAGTCCCTTGAACTTTGTATTTATATCACACGTTGATCATTCTCTGCTCTCGTTTGATGCCCTGTAGTACGGTGTTCTGATCTGTTCCTTTCTCTTTTTCTCTCTCCCCATCTGCTGTTAGTGAACCACTACAAGTGTCCATTGTGTGACATGACCTGCCCGTCCCCCTCATCGCTGCGGAACCACATCAAGTTCCGCCATAGCAACGAGAAGCCTTACAGCTGTGAATACTGCGAGTACAGGTAGGTTAATACATTAGGTAAATACTTAGGTAATGCCCAGGACTATAAGCCAACACCATCCTTTTCTGACAGAGATCATGTCCATACTCTGTCAATATTATGACAATGAATTATATTGAAGGAGTACATGTTTAGTGTGTGCAAGTTGCCTGAATGTTAGTAGATTAGTATAGGCAGAACCCATCCTAACCCATCTTTCCTGTGGTGTGTGTATCTCTCCTCAGCTGTAAGAACCAGATCGACCTTCGTAAACACATGGACACCCACAGCACTGAGCCGGCCTACCGCTGTGACTTCACCAACTGTGACTACACAACACGCACACTGCACTCCATCAAGAACCACTACAAGAAAGTACATGAGGTGAGAGGGGGAGATTTACAAATGTTTACCCTTTTCACTGGGCTGGCCTGGGCTGGCCTGGTTATGCATCCACCATAGTTGGTGGAAATGTGCTGAAAATGACAATATGAAGTCAGCCCAGTACAGTTTGTGTCAGCTCTATATGGTAAGTCAGGCATGAATAAACAACTCTAATAATTGTCAGTTCCAAAACTATGCATGACCTATTTTCTAAGATGTTGCATTTTTGTGTTGACAACTCAGGGAGATTTTGTGGCTCGCTACAAGTGTCATGTCTGTGAGCAGTGCTTCACTAGAGGGAACAGCCTCACTGCCCACCTCCGCAAGAAGCACCAGTTCAAATGGCCCTCTGGACACCCCCGATTCAGGTACCAACTACGGAGCTTTTGAACATAGCAAACACAACATTTACAGCCAGCATACTAGGACAACCAATTCTAAAGTGCATGTGGTTAGAGATGCATTTAACAGCAATGTTAACTATCTAACAGCATGTTTATGTGGAGATGGTCTGTATTGACAAGGCCTCCATTCAATATAAGTAGTTTGACTCCAGAGTCATTAGTAGGTGAATGAGAAAGTGAGCATCTTTCAGTCATCATTTTGGTCTTGTGGCTAACTCTTCTTTCTCTTTCTTCCCTCTCTTCTCCCAGGTATAAGGAGCATGAGGACGGCTTCATGCGTCTGCAGCTGATCCGCTATGAGAGCGTGGAGCTGACCGAGCAACTGATGAGAGGGAGACCGGAGGGGGAGGACGCTGCCCGGACAGATATCCTTGGGCCTGGGGAGGATGCCAGGGCAGTAGCACACTCCATGGAGGTACAGGTGGAGCTGAGAGGGGTGCTGTTGGAGGAGGAGGGTGGGCCTGTGGAAGAGGGTCAGGGGGGTGTTGGGGAGCAGGGAGCGGGTGTGTTCTATGATTTGACTGGTGGTGACTCGTCTCATGCAGGGGAGGACGCTGTGACGCTGCAGCTACAGGACACTGCTCAGCAGCTCGGCATGCAGGTAGTGTAACCACTGCAACCTTCACACAGACATACTGCTCCTCTAATGGCTTGTTCCTCTGAGATACGGAGCAGTGACATAGCACAGAGAGGCACCAGGACTAAGGGAAGGACGGGAGAGCTGCACCGGGTTTTTGGGCACACCTGTCTTGGGGGTATGCTGAGGATGAGGAGGGGGAACTCTTCAAGGATTTACATAGTATGGATTGAAGTGAACAGTGGCTTCTAAATATTGGGATTTAACCAGCAGGACTGGCCTCGTCTGTCCTCTCTCCTCACATCACTTTGTCAGAAGATATGGAGTTGATATTGTGGATATGATTTCATGAACTGTAGTTGTTGTCCAACGTCTGATCCGCCGTTTGTGGAGACCAAGACGGTTGCTATGTTTTGCATTATTAACAATTTTGAGCTTAGCAGAATGGACTTGATAGGGGTATACTATAAAGCAGGATTAATTAGTTAGCCAGCTAACTAAATAGTCTTAAATAACTTGTTATATATATTTTTCTGAAAGAAAAGTTTGAAATGGGCATGGTCTGAAGGCGTCAGCATGCTTCAGTTGGGCTGGCACCTAGCCAAACTCGGCTAACTGAACGAGTGTGTTCCCATACTCCTTTAAAAGACATTTGCTTGTAAAACGAGAGAAGCGGCAATAGTACTGTTTGTCCATTTTGAGACGCGTAGCCAGTATACACTACCTCCAAGTAATCTGAATGAATCTAAGATAACTCAAGAAATCTATCATTAATCTTGACGTTTATGACGAAGAGATCTTAGTCGCGCAATTTTACATCTAACTAAGATGTTTGGTGAAGTTTTTTTCAATGAAAAAATGTGCATGAAAATGAGTTGTCTCTCGTTGAATGACATCAAAGACTTTATTGAGGAATCCATACTGTTGACCAAACACTGAGGAAGGGGCGTAAACTTTGGCTCCGAAATTCGGCTTGCCTCCAGAAATAAATGTGTGTGTGCCGAAAAAACCCTCACCGAAGTCTAAAACGAACAAAAACGTCACAAACTGTCATCTTAATATATGCACGAACTCTACCGAACTGTTTCGGCTGGGAAGCATGCGCATGCCTTAATTCAGTGTTTTCCAACTCCAGTCCTCGAGTACATACAACAGCACACATTTTTGTTGTTGCCCCGGACAATTTCATCTGATTCAACTCATTGAGGGTTTGATGATTAGTTGACAAGCTGAATCAGGTGTGCTTGTCCAGTGCTACAAAGAAAATGTGCTGTTGGAGGTACTCGGGACCGGGAGTTGGGGAAACACTGGCCTAATTGACTCAACAAGTTTAACTTTCTTATTGAACCAGAAAATCAATAGTTATTGCTGGTTGTTTATCTAAGTTAGCTGGCTAACTCATTGATCCAGCTTTGTATTATGCCCCTCAGCTGTTTGATTTGACGTTTGTTTTCTATTGTGCGCAATAAACAGATTGTATTTTTCATCGCTGTCACTCACCTTTTTGAGCTTGAATGTTTTAGTTTGATGCAAATTTCAGAACATTGCATGTAGATGTGAACTGATGATTCTCTATCAAGTGAAGCAGAACATTGTGGAATATTAGATATCTATATGTTGTGCTGAATAATCCTACAGAAATAGATTTACTGCATGTGCGTGTGTGTGCCCCTGCGTGTGCGTGACGTGAAAGAGCGAGGGTGGGGGAGTGAGGGAGCGCTCTATGGCGTAGAATCTAATCCACTTAGTGGTGCTCTTACATCCGGCTTGTTGCCCGTCAGACACTTCCTCCAATGATGGACAAGACCGGCACACACAGAGAGCGAGCGAGGCTACGTACAGGACAGAAATAGAATGTTCAGAGGCTGTTAATCAATCTATCACATTTATTTATAAAGCCCTTTTTACATCAGCAGATGTTACAAAGTGCTTATACAGAAACCCAGCCTAAAACCCCAAACAGCAAGCAATGCAGATGCAGAAGCACGGTGGCTAGGAAAAACTCCCTAGAAAGGCAGGAACCTAGGAAGAAACCTTGAGAGGAACCAGGCTCTGAGGGGTGGCCAGTCCTCTTCTGGCTGTGCCGGGTGGAGATTATAAGAGTACATGGCCATTTAAGGCCAGATTGTTCTTCAAGATGTTCAAACCTTCGTAGATGACCAGCAGGGTCAAATAATAATCACAGTAGTTGTGGAGGGTGCAACAGGTCAGTACCTCAGGAGTAGATGTCAGTTGGCTTTTCATAGCCGAGCATTCAGAGGTTGAGACAGTCGGTGCGGTAGAGAGTCGAAAACAGCAGGTCCGGGACAAGGTAGCACGTCCGGTGAACAGGTCAGGGTTCACAAGCCGTAGGCAGAACAGTTGTAACTGGAGCAGCAGCACGACCAGGTGGACTGGGTACAGCCAGGAGTCATCAGGCCAGGTAGTCCTGAGGCATGATCCTAGGGCTCAGGTCCTCCGGGAGGGAGAGAGAGATAATTAGAGGGAGCATACTTAAATTCACACAGGACACCAGATAAGACAGGAGAATTACACCAGATATAACAGACTGACCCTAGCCCCCCGGCATATATACTATTGCAGCATAGATACTGGAGACTGAGACGGGTGGGTCGGGCGACACTGTGGCCCCGTCCGACGATACCCCCCGGACAGGGCCAACCAGGCAAGATATAACCCCACCCATTTTGCCAAAGCACAGCCCCCACACCACCAGATGGATATCAACAGACCACCACGAAGATCTCCTCCACCGCACGAGCCCGAGCGTGGTGGATGCCACTCTATTCAACGGCAGAGATGGAATCAATACGTTTTACTCTTAAGTCTGCAGACGCCGTGCAGCTATTGCAATGCACTCAAGAAAACCATCCTTATAACGATATATGTATTTCTCGCCTCCTTTTCTTATACACTACAATTGCACATCCGCGCAAAACTGTATAATGTACATGAATATATCTGCAACCCATGCTATGACTCTGTGCAAGCACAGCACACAGTATCATATCTGTGGTGGTGGTGGATGGGTTGTTGTTGTTAGCTGTGTTTAAAAGATTAACCAGTCCTAGGAGCTTAGTGTAAGCAGGACTCGCTGTGCTCTGCTTCCTCACTCGGTCTCTGGACCCTTCTGCAGATAGATCATACAGAACACCTGAAGACTACTAGCCATGCTTCTGTGTCTTTATGGAGATTTCAATTGAAGATGAAGCATGCATGGATGATTCATGAGTTTTTTAGTTTTGCTTTGGTTCAGAACTGAGCTGTCAGATGTGAGTGGTGTTTACCTCCCCTGCTTGTAGAGGCTGCTACTGAGGGACAGAAAACAGGCAACCATGAGACTGTACTCATTGCTGCTACTGCTCCTGGGGTCCTCACATGGGTTGTTCACACAGCTGCCTGAGTTAATGGAGGATGAGGAAGGTAGCGGTAAGATATTTTACTAGGAATATTCTTTGTGATGGTTATTGAAAGTGCTTAACGTTCAAGAGGTTTACCCTTGGTTCAGTATATACATTTTATTGATTTGTCTTATCCAAAGTTACTTACAGTCAGGTCCAGAATGTATGTAATCTGATGGAATTGTAATGATTCATTCAGGTTTGACAGAGGTAACTTAGTGTATATTATCTGATGGAACTGATCTGATTCAGGTGTGACAGAGGCGACTCCAGAGCCAGAACCTGTGGATGACACCTACTGGTCAGGCACAGCCCCCATCTGTATGGGTGGTTGTAAGGGGAGACACCAGGAACTGAAGAAGGATCGCTGTGGGGACTCTGACTGCTGCTGGTTTGGCTACAAATCCCTCTGCAGAGGTACCACTCACACGTGTGACCTGTATCTGCTGTACCCTGCTCTCTCACTGTAGCACATCCATAAAAATCCCATCAAATTGTATTTTCCTTAACAGCAGGAAATGAATGAATTTGTCAGTATACTGAAATGTAACAGAAACTAAAATGGGAAATACATTGAACTACTTTTACATTATCTTCTCATACAGTTTATTAGTCATGTGGATTGTTCTCTACTTTGCTCGTGCTCTATTGTGTTTGTCCTGTCCTGTGTGGTTCAGTGAACTGTGGGAGGCCTGACGTGGACTATAACGGGATGGTGTACGGGAACGACTGGTGGGTGGGCTCAGTGGTCCGGTACGCCTGTCGCCCTGGCTTCCTATTGGTGGGGGACCCTGCCCGAGCCTGCCAGTCCAATGGAGGCTGGACCCCCAAACCCTCCTGTCTCAGTGAGTGGCCCATTTGTTCAGTGATCAAAGACCCCACTAATTTGCCTTCACTACATGGCACTACTCCTTGTAGGTGTGAAGAAGTAGCGTTCAATGTCATTGTGTGAATGTAGCCAGCTCACCGTAGCCTGTTTGTTCATACAGCCTCATTGATCACCATTAATTTTGCCCCCACAACACCTCAGGGAACACACATCTTAGTACACTAAAGTGAGTAGTCCTTTACCTTTCTTTCTCTTACCTCCACATCACGTCTCTGCTCCTCCACACCCCATCCCCTCTACCCCCGTCCCCCCCTCTCTCCCTGGGCCAGGGGTGTGTCGTCAGGGCCGTGTGGAGATCACTGAGAAGGAGCTAGAAACGGCTACCTGCTCATCCACCTGTCCTCTTAAGTCCTACATGGGGCCTCTTAAGCAGGGCTGCTACCGCATCGACAACTGCAGGAAGATAAATCCTGACTGGAAGCGCTGGTTCACCCGCTGTGACACGTGCCTGTGTGATTGCCACATCGCCTGTGGTGAGTAGTACACTTTTACGCCCTTGAGTGGTACAGTCCATTGACTGATGGTAGCTAAATAACTGGGCATGTCAACTAGCGGGGCAATGAAGTTAAACCAGATTGGCTGGTTTCAATGAATGGATGGGATGAATGCGTGTGAGTTTGTTGGGTTCTTGAAAAATTTGTACTCTAGAGTGTGGTTAATTTGTTAGCATTACATTTGTTCACAACATGTTTATTGAATATTATTTCCAACTAAAGGTAACCCATGCATATTTCACGAGTTCTAAACTCTTTGGCCTGCACAACAAACACTTCCCCACAATGTCTTCTTTTAGCATCTTTAGGTTAAAAGACGGACGTATTCCACTATTGAGTGACTAGAATATGTATTCCAAAACAACCACAAGGAATATCAGTGACCAGCTTAACATCACAGATGCTCATCGGAATCTTAATCGGAATGCTGAAATCCTCATCGGACTACTGCTGCTTCATCTGCTGTCGGAAGGAGGATCAAAGGGGAACCTAGAGAGACATCTCTGTGGAACTAACAAACAGTCTGTCGCGACAGACTGCTGTGGTCCTAACCTCAACCTCATAGAGCACCGAGGCAAAGACACTCTACGTTTCCTCAACGCACACCCCGACTACGTAAAGGACTCATCGTGAGGCGTAGATGAACAGTTTTGACGAGGCTAGAGGGGGAGGTCTCTCCAAGTGTAGAGATTCTGTTGGGATTAATGAGTTGTCCTTTTAGCTCAACCTGCTCATTCAATCTGTCCTGGAACCTAGAATGAGCTGGTTGTGGGGCTGAGACCTTAATCTTGTTACTCACCGCAGCCCAGGGAAGAGAAGAGGTCAGAGGAGGGCCAGGTTAACTATCTAACAGCATGTTTACTATAATGTGTGTGGAGATAGCTTGGAGTACATAATATGCAATGTGTTTTAGTGTATTTGCAAATGGATGGGATACACTTTGTTGATTATTGTATGTCTTTTATTTATCCTCATGTTACAGCCATTGGTTGGACTGTCTGTATTGCTTAGAAGATGTAGATGGTTAACCAAAGTCAAGGTGCTTCCTCACTAACAATGTTAGTTGTTGATGATTTGTTGTCTTCTTATGAATCCTGGTAAAATGTAATGTGAAACTACACACTCAACCAACTCAGTGTTTCGACCATAGAGATCTAGTTTCATTATATTTCTAATCCATTCTATTTAATTATGTGGTTTAGATCAAGTGCTGAGCCGCAGGATGTGTTCATCTTCTTTGGGTTGGTAGCAGCCAACTCCTGCAAAGAAATGAACATGACCAAGTCAAACATTATTTTGTCTTTAGTAATGCAATGCTAAAAACTGCTTATTACGCGCAGAATAGAATAAAATACAATTGTTTTGTACATACTGGGAGAACAGAAGAATAAGAGATGACTCATAAGCACTGTTTAGACCCACACTTACCTGCATCCATCCTGGTCTGAACCCCAGATTACTCTTGACAGTAGCTCCCAGTAGGTTCGATTGGCCTCCATCCCAGCCACTCCATTGACACGCTCCGTGGGAAGTCTTTCACTGTGAACCTATTAAATGGAGAGCAACACGTGTAAGTTCATCATGCACAACAAGGCAGGATAGATTATGATGACTGACAATACTGTACAACGTTTTGATAAGAGAAATGGACTTCGATTTCTGGAAGTATGTAATTGTAAAATGAGGAAGAATTAAGCCTGAAAATGTATGATAATACAAGAGATTACATAGACCTCTCTGTCTAATACAATGTATTTCAATTAGTGATTGTTCATAATGGTGATGATAATGACCAATGTTCCTTACTTGAAGTCGTGGTCTGTGTCCTCCAGTCTCCTCATGGCCCCCAATAGTACTCCCCCTTCCACCACAGAGCTGGAGTAGACCTGACCAGCCAATTCTCCATTGGACAGCCTGATAGGCACTGCCACCCTCACTGGACCTACAGGATGCAACAAGAACCCGAGATAATGAAGGCTTATTATGACCCTTTAAGTGGGTATGTACTTGCTTCAGTGTTCAATATGAAACCATGATAACCATGATAGAATGGTTCAACTTAAAGACAAGTAATAGTATTATATGGTATTGGTGACAGTTTAACGTGTACACATAGACATTTACTTTGAAGTTAAATATTCAATCAACAGACATGAGAGATACTGTTTGCAGGACACGACTTAAAGCAACACTACAGTGCATTCGGAAAGTATTCAGACCCCTTCCCTTTTTCCACATTTTGTTACGTTACAGCCTTGTTCTAAAATTGATTAAATAAAACATTTTCCTGATCAATCGACACACAATACCCCATAATGATAAAGTGAAAACAGGTTTCAGACATTTTTGCAAATGTATTACAAATAAAAAAACATACCTTATTTACAAAAGTATTCAGACCCTTTACTATGAGACTCGAAATTGAGCTCAGGTGCATCTTGTTTCCATTGATCATCCTTGATGTTTCTACAACTTGATTGGAGTCTACCTGTGGTAAATTCAATTGATTGGACATGATTTGGAAAGGAACACACCTGTCTATATAAGATCCCACAAACCAAGCCATGAGGTCGAAGGAATTGTCCGTAGAGCTCCGAGACAGGATTGTGTTGAGGCACAGATCTGGGGAAGGGTACCAGAAATTGTCTGCAGCATTGGCCTCCATCATTCTTAAATGAGTGGCCCAGCCAGAGCCCGGACTTGAACCCGATCAAACATCTCTGGAGAGACCTGAAAATGGCTGTGCAGCGACGCTCCCCATCGAACCTGACAAAGCTTGAGAGGATCTGCAGAGAAGAATGGGAGAAACTCCCCAAGTACAGGTGTGCCAAGCTTGTAGCGTCATACAACCCAAGAAGACTCGAGGCTGTAATCGCTGCCAAAGATGCTTCAACAAAGTACTGAGTAAAGGGTCTGAATACTTATGTAAATGTGAAAATTTCCGTTTTTTATTTTTAATAAATTAGAAAACAATTATAACCTGTGTTTGCTTTGTCATTATGGGGTATTGTGTGTAGATTGATGAGGAAAAATAGCAATTGAATCCATTTTAGAATAAGGCTGTCATGTAACAAAGTGTGGAAAAAGTGAAGGGGTCTGAATACTTTCCGAATGATGTGAATATGGCACTACAACTGTAATATGTCAGAGCACCCAATAAACATCATTTAAATTCATCTCACCAGTATCAGCAGCTGCAGAAGAGCCACAGAGAGGAGAGTTGTACGTCTTGGTGCCATTATGATGATTCTACTTGCTGTCTCAATCCAGATGTCTCTTGCTCGGTCACACACACAAGATCACTACTTATACTGTACCTGATCCCAGTTTATGAGCACATTCCAGCCCCATGTTGACATGGTTTATGTTTCGTATTTATTGTGGAATAACGTCAGCACGCTCTTTAAGAACTCACGCTTATGACAAAATGGCTTTTCTTTCAAATGTTCCCTTTTGCTCCATTTAAGGAAACTTTTCACAAGGCCATTCTTCTTCAAACATATTGTGAATAGAAAGTGATGTGTTAGCTTAGCTTGTCATTGATATAATAAAGCAGAAACCTGCATTGACATTGAGGTGAGTAATGATCTACCTTGGCACTCTGACCCTGTTTTCCCCTCAGGTGGCATGGTGAACAATCAGGTGAATACAATATAAAGTTAAAGAGCCTGGAGACAGTGGAGACTGAGTGGACTTAGTCCTTCCTCAGATATAACCTTGGGGAGCTTTATGCTCTATTCTAATGCATTCATTTCCTTGATCAAATTAGCAGTTGATTTCTGAAGGATTTACAGTAACTGTATTGTTGAAACATGTTTTTCTGCAGTTTTCCAGAATCCAGAATTTCAATACTGTCCAAAACATGATATATTATTGTTAAAGTTTTTCCTAGCTATGCTGTATTGTGCACAGTGTCAACAATCTCAAAATAACCAATGACTGTATTACTAACTATAATAACCACGTGGTGTCGCTGCAGTCCCAACATCAAAGGCTTGGAAACTGGTGCAACACAGTTTCTTACAGTTCTTTCTTATCGCTTTGGTACTATTTTCACAAGTATGTGGTGAATTTTGAAAACTCTTAGTACAAAACTCCAAACTTGTAACGCAGCCAGTCTTATGTTCAAAAGCTTTCATTGTGCATTCATACATTCTTTTTTTTTTTTTGTAGACATTCCCACACAACCATTGATCCACAATGTAATTCTACTGTGAAATATTACCTATATAATAATAGGTTTAGTCACCAAAACACAACATTCAAACCTGTCTTGAGCATCCTCATTGTTCATGCACCTGGGGAAAAACCTTTTGGCATGGCGAATCCAAGCCTGACATTGGTCTGGATATAAATGAGTCCATGCCGCTCTGTCATTGCTCGTACCGTTGAAGTCGGAAGTTTACATACACTAAGTTGACTGTGCCTTTAAACAGCTTGGAAAATTCCAGAAAATTATGTCTTGGCTTTAGAAGCTTCTGATAGGCTAATTGACACCATTTTAGTCAATTGGAGGTGTACCTGTGGATGTATTTCAAGGCCTACCTTCATACTCAGTGCCTCTTTGCTTTACATCATGGGAAAATCAAAAGAAATCAGCCAAGACCTCAGAAAAAAATGGTAGACCTCCACAAGTCTGGTTCATCCTTGGGAGCAATTTCCAAACACCTGAAGGTACCACGTTCATCTGTACAAACAATAGTACGCAAGTAAAAACACCATGGGACCACGCAGCCATCATGCCGCTCAGGAAGGAGACGCGTTCTGTCTCCTAGAGATTAATGTACTTTGGTGCGAGAAGTGCAAATCAATCCCAGAACAACAGCAAAGGACCTTGTGAAGATGCTGGAGGAAACCGGTACAAAAGTATCTATATCCACAGTAAAACGTGTCCTATATCGACAACCTGAAAGGCCGCTCAGCAAGGAAGAAGCCACTGCTCCAAAACCGCCATAAAAAAGACAGACTACCGTTTGCAACTGCACATAGTGACAAAGATCTTACTTTTGGAGAAATGTCCTCTGGTCTGATGAAACAAAAATAGAACTGTTTGGCTATAATGACCATCGTTATGTTTGGAGGAAAAAGGGGAAGGCTTGCAAGCCGAAGAACACCATCCCAACCGTGAAGCACGGGGGTGGCAGCATCATGCTGTGGGGGTGCATTGCTGCAGGAAGGACTGGTGCACTTCACAAAATAGATGGCATCATGAGGACGGAAAATGTTATATGGATATATTGAAGCAACATCTCAAGACATTAGTCAGGAATTTAAAGCTTGGTCGCAAATGGGTCTTCCAAATGGACAATGACCCCAAGCATACTTCCAAAGTTGTGGCAAAATGGCTTAAGGACAACAAAGTCAAGGTATTGGAGTGGCCATCACAAAGCCCTGACCTCAATCCTATAGAAAATGTGTGGGCAGAACTGAAAAAGCGTGTGCGAGCAAGGAGGCCTACAAACCTGATTCAGTTACACCAGCTCTGTCAGGAGGAATGGGCGAAAATTCACCCAACTTATTGTGGGAAGCTTGTGGAAGGCTACCCAAAACGTTTGACCCAATTTAAACAATTTAAAGGCAATGCTACCAAATACTAATTGAGTGTATGTAAACTTCTGACCCACTGGGAATGT